TGAGATAGTGAACTGAAACTAAAAGGTCATAAAAGGTCATATCTCAATTAATAAACACTGCTCTGTAGTATTCATCTAATCAACCCCTCAAAGTCCATCACAACAGTTCCAGTTCCAAATCAGCTACTGGTCTGAATCTAAGGGCAGTCAGATTGATTTAAGCTGTTTCAGCCCTAGTTACTCCGTAGTATTACGTTTACTATTCATTTTATATTAATAAACATATTTTTTGTGTTCATTAAACACTTCAGTGGGCAGGTATTCTTGAATATACAAAAGTGCCATTGTTCTTCTACCCTTGACTCAACTCAATCATTTGTCTAATTTTTTTTTCTTTTTTTACAAACCCTTAACTTACCCCATGGGATCTTACCTGGAATCCTTTTACTGTGATGCGAACCGTATCCCCCACTTTTGCCCTACTGGGGAACATTGAGAGTTTTGGACCCTTAGGAGCAGCTGAAAAAAAGAGACAAAGGTCATTGTGAAGAACCTGGGTGTCAAGTTCTGCTAGACCCCTGTTTTGTCACATTAGGAGCGAGACAAACACAATTTCCTATCAATTAAGGTCACAGGGCAAGAGGCGATGGGACTGGGCAGATTCTTTTTGATCCCGGGGCTTGTGCCGGATTTATTTCTCCCTGGAAAGAGAGGGGAGTAAATTGGGTAGGTAGTCATTACTGGAGGAAAATTGGAGTGGGGTGGAGTGTGGAGGCAGTGAGATAAGGGACACTTAGAGAGCTAATTCCCTCATCTTGGTTTGGACAGCAGCCTCCAGATGGCTTTCATTTGGACCATCTAAAACAATGGGGTGCAAGCAGCAGAGGGAGCTGACGGAGGCTAATATTCTCAGGAAACGAGGGGCCTGTGATTGTTCTGTGCATGTAGTGTTGAGATAAAATGAGTGATTTGCATAATGTTATGAAAAAATGGTAGGATGTTTCATTATGGCTAAACAGAACATTATACAGCATTAGAGCCCACATGAACAGGTTCTGCATGATTGAGATGATTGAGAATTTCCCCAAAGACGCGCTGGGGTGCTCCATATGTTAGACAAATGTACTAAGTAGTACATGCGATGAGTTCCCAGGCTAAGGGCATGCTATTAATAATGCCTGTGTAGACCCAGCACAAGATTATTTCACTTCACTTATGATATTATTCGCAGCCCAGACTTGTTTTATTTGATAAGGTGAACTAAAGGGTAAATAGATAAAAAAGACAAATGACCTCAATTTTTTGCTAATAATACAGCAGCAAGCCGTCCACTGTAGTCAATGATGCACATCCTTTTCTTAGGAAAGTACTGACAAACCCACATCATGTTCATAAAATAAATATAAGTGCCGCAACACATTAGTGTGCCATGAGAAATAGCCAGCTGTACCATGGAAAATATCTCTATTCTCTCAGTCTGAAAACTATTGTTTATTCACCGCAAATAATTTGTCTTCTTAATGCCATAGTAACTGACAGATCTATAATATAATCTTCCACTAGGTGAATGGCTTTGAAAACTAAAAAAGACAGAGACTGAGAGCTGTTGAGGAAGAGCTTTGTGTATGTCTTTCTTCAATTCCTGCCGCTATATCAGCATTGTTTTCAACTAAACAGGCCTGGTTTTCAGTACAATGTGAGTAAATTGAAACTAGAAGATCAGTATATTTTATTACATATATATTGTATTGCATTTTGATTCGGTGGTACACCGTGGGATTTTCATGTTGTTATTAAGATTTGTCGTGTGGAACTAGACTGTGTACAGTATTTTTGGCAGGATTTTGGATTTTTTTAAACCATAAAACAACTTGTAATTAAGCAGATTCAAGAGAGTAGTTTGTCGTCCAAATATGAACAGATGGAAGAAGAAGTGACGTGAAGTATACAATCACAAACAAACTCATGGTCTTAACACTTTGACTGCATGTTCTAGCCTATGGTGTGAAAGGAGGTCTTTCCACAGGCCAGTGTTTCCATGTCAGTGTGAAGCTCTTTCCTACACACTGATAGAGAAATATTTTTAACCACTGGTGGGGTGGCATCACATGAAATTTGCAAAGCATATGGTGAGGAAGATGATGGCCGCTTTCTGGGATTTGCTCCAATATGACAGTTGGTGTTCTACGTCACCGCCTTTGATTAGGAGCAACATGCGGCATGATTGACACATAGTGACAGATCTCTCTATGGGTGGGGGCCACCGTCACACCAGACCCAGCATTTGCTGTGTGGAAAACCAACTTCTTACAATTTCACACAAGATTAACAAATGAACAAATGAACCTTCCCTCATAAAAATTTTACTCTAACTGTAAATAATGCATCAGGTGGGATTTATAGCCGAGACGGGACAACAGCAGCTACAGTTAAATCAGACCTAAAGAGACCTAGAGAGTTCCTGTTGAATCCATTAGGTTACTGTTGGGGGCACTTTTACCACAAAACAAAACTTAGGTACATTTATTGCAAGAACGAGCTGCAACCAAGCCCAGCTGTCAACAGGCGAGGGTGAGGACACACCCTGGACAGTCATCACAGGGCCACATCTGTGGGCATTCACACTCACATTCACACCACCAGCTGAGAGTGACAAAACATACTCTTCATACGTTTGGTCTGTGGATAGAATCCATGCATACATTAATTATCAAAAAAATTGCTTTGAAATCAAGTTATAGCACCATCTGCAGGGGGAGAAGGCATGCTACATGCTCCCTTACTGACACAAATAAAAAAAAATATCACAGGCAGTGTCTTGATTTAACAATGCTAACGACTGATGCTAAAGTGCTCGACAAACTATCAGAGGGTTTTTCATGCCGTAACAAATTCAGCTAACTAGATGAGAACATAACAAGCAACTTAAAATACAGATACACATGACAAATATTTATTCACAATTTTTTAACAAATGCACGCATGCATTACACAGGCAAACGCTCCTTCTCAAACACACACACACAAATCCCAGCTGCATGGCTTAAATTGAACATCTGCTCTTCAGTTAACACAGTCTGGTAAAGCAATGTGGGGAAACACTGATCTTTTAACATGAGTCCATCATTCACGTCTCATATTGCTATGTTTTTCTTTTTAAACCACATTCTATTTAAAGCCAACGCAAAGATGTTCCTTTGATTAATCAGATACACGACGGTCGTAAATATAACATGGGAGATCAGAATATACCTGCAGAAAAGTACCATGGGTTTTTTCTGCAAGCCTCATGGCCATTTATATGAGGAGCACAGAGCCCAGCATGAATATTCATGAAGTGTAATACAACACTGGTCAATTGTCAGGCTGTCGCTCTGCCTCAAGTGGCAATATTAAATCTCTGAAAGATTTATTACTCATGGATGCAGCAAAGACCTCTTTTTCATTTCCTGACCAAACACACCTGAGAGAGTAGTGAGACTGTATGTGTGTAGAAAT